TATGGGTGGTAGAACTTTTGAATGCTTGGATGCTGTAATAAATAGGTAAGTGTATTCTATTTATAGAGAATTATTGTTAATATTCTTTGCTTCATTATTTTTTAATCACATTTATTTGTAATATTACAGATATCGAAAGGAACAAATAGTGGAAGGGCATACATTAGTCCAAGCAATGGTGACCGAGCCTGATGGAAGTGTAAGAGTCAATAGAGAAGTACAACACGCAGAAAAAATTTATGCGACCCTTAGAGAATGTCGCGAGCAATCTGGCGTAAAGAAAAATAAAGGAATTAAAATGCAGGGTTATTTGGAAAAAAAGTCAGAGAAAAACAAAAAATGGAAAGCATTGTATTTTGTACTTTTAGTAGATGCTACTGATACACACCTCTATTTGTATGACAATCCTAAGAGAACCAAACCGAAAGGTCTCATTGATTTAAGCTGTGCTTACTTATATCAGGTAATTTATATATCGTATCGAAGAGTAAGAATATTTCAGATATACTATTTTTTAGATGATTAAGTTAAGATATTAACTAAGATATTAACTAAGTAACTAACGATATTGAAAAACAGTTCATATAAATAGCTGCATGTATCAGTATGTAATTTTTCACCATATCGCTGAAATATAGTCTTTTTAGGTCCATGAAAGTGTGTTTGATAGGCCTCATTGCTTCCAATTAGTTGAACGTGCTTTACCATGTTTGGCCACGATAACTTATCTGGCTGCTCCAAATTCGGAAAATGCTTTAGATTGGATTAATGCCTTGAAACCATTATGTGTATCACAACTTACACGTGCACCGAAGGTCGCTCGTCTCCGCGAATTGCGTTCATTACATCTGCACATTCTAGACGCGCATAGACTTCCATATAAGCTAGTACCAAACCCATTCATCATAGTGGCTCTGAACAACGTAAAAGTTGCACGCACAAAGGTTAAAACTGGGTTACATCCACTCTGGGATGAAGAGTTCATTCTGGAGTACGTATGCGAACTTTAAACTAAACACTTACAAAACTTGATAAAATACAACGATGGCGATGATCTTACTGTAAGTTATTTAACAGGGATGTTCCACCAGACGTTATGTCATTTTCCTTGACATTATACAACAAAGGTAAACGAAGCAAAGATACGGAAGTTGCAGAGTTAACTGTAGAGCTGTCCAGTCTAACTAATAGGGAAGAGATGGATGAATGGTATCCATTATCCGGTGTCACACCAATTGGAGAATGGGGAGCATTACGGTTACGTTTGAGGTAAATAATATATGTGTATAGCGTGTATCGTTAAGAATTGCATAATTTTCATATATTTATGTTTGGATTCTAGGTATAGACATGATTTGGCGATGCCTCCAGAAGAATATAGTCCTCTACAGGAATTATTATTAGATCCAGAACTTCATGTTGTTAGGGCTTTGGCAGATGTTTGTCATTTGGATAGAGTACCACTAGCCAATAGTCTTCTTCGAATATTTAGGTATTTATATCTCCCCAATTATTGTTAATTATTATTATATGTTTTTATTTTAGAAACATTGTGAAAAATCAATTATATTTTAGACACGAGCGAAAAGAAGCTGATCTTTTACGATCTTTGAATCAAGCAGAAGTTGGTATTAAACAAAACGACTCATAATACGATGTAAATTTTTTTGTCGTTATACGTTTTAATTATACTTTTTATTTAGGTGGACAAGGAAGATGAAACACCTACTCTATTTAGAGCTGCCAGCCTAACAACGACTTTAATGGATTTATATATGAAATCAGTTTGTACTTCATTTTTGAAAGCTGCTTTGCGCGATACCATCGTTAAATTAATCGAAAGCAAACAGAGTTGTGAATTAAACCCAACTAAAATGGATTCACCCGAAGATGCGTGCAGCAACGCTGAATTTTTATTACAGGTGTGTATTAGAATTTCGACAATTTTGAAATATATAAACGTCTGTTATTATGTAGTTTCTAACGAAGGAAAACTTAATGAAAATGTAGGTTTTGGATGAAGTGACATTAAGCATTTTTACAAGTCCCGATGCTTGTCCAAAAACTTTAAGATACATTTGTGGTTGCCTACAAAGAGCTGTCGTCGCAAAATGGCCACACGAAAGATTAGTTAGGACACGAGTAGTCAGTGGATTTATATTTTTACGCTTACTTTGTCCTGCTATTTTGAATCCTAGATCATTCAATTTAATAGCAGAGCCTCCACCTCCAACGGCTGCAAGGTAAACCATGCATACATGTTGTATTTAATAGATTTAGGTCTTTGTTCCTTCTCTTTAATATTAATTATAAAAACTATTGTATAGATCATTAGTAATGGTGGCGAAATGTTTGCAAAATTTGGCTAATCTGGTAGAATTTGGTGGGAAAGAGCCATATATGGAAGTTGTAAATCCATTTATTCTCAAAAACAAGGAACGAATGGTTGTGTTTCTTGATCAGTTATCAGTGAGTTCTCTATTATAATGCAATTATAATTAATACATTAAAAATGAAGGAGGATTATATATTATAATACATTTATTTTATTTAGAATGTAACTGAAAAACCAGAATCTGAAGGCGCCGATCCAAGGAGTAAAAGTGCATGCGTATCAGATACTGCAAGAGATCTGGCGACATTGCATCACATTTGTGTTTCTCATTTAAAGGAACTTCAAGTTTTATCAAAAACACAAGTAAGCTCATTTAAGGTTTCTTAAGTATTATATAGAATAAATGTGATTGAAATATACGTTTTTTTACAGCCAACAATAAAACAATTGGTAACAGTGACCGAAATGCTCAGCAAGCACAAACAAAAGTACATGGAAATGATACGGTAGTGCTAAAGCCATTAAATATGAATAATGCCAAACACAATAAAACTCTCACAGACTTTCATGACGGATTTAGTAGTATTTAATAAGTATAATTAAGTGACATAAGTAATTATACGTACAGACTGACGTGCCATATATATTACTGTATACACACAAGCCTACATTTACTATTTCATATGTAATTAGAGGATAGCTTCTATAAATAGTTATAACGACAGTAACACGATAGTGATATAGTTACATACAGAACCATATAGGCGTATAACGATTTTATATTTACTTAGGTGCTCGAAAATAAATACAAACTAAAATAGCAATTTTTAAATAAAATTTGTCCTCATACCAAGTCAGTCCCCCGATGAAATACACTTCTTAAATATAAAATTGAAGTATCAACAATTATTAATAGTTTAATTATTAATTATTTTTGTAAATTTTGAATTTAAAACTTGTTATTTTACAATTAGATAAATCATTCGAAAATTTTCATTTGCGCGTGCTTTCTTTTGCTGAAATATTTAAAAATCAACTGAGAAAGCACAGTTTATCCAATCGGCCAATCAGGATCATCGTACAGTGTTTAATCAAATGTGCATATATTCGCAGTAGCTTCTCCCGCTCTTTTATAGGCTATCGCAGTATATCGAATGGACAATTACCGTGTTTAATTAGAAAGGGGTGGGAGAATTTTTAATAATATTTAATTATAAGTTTTATATAATAATTTTCTGTTTATGTTTTTTTTATGTCTGTACGAAAATAATATTTATGCTAATATTATAAACATATTCGTAAAGCAATGATTATCAGTATAGTAATTATCGTTTCTATTATGGGTTATTGCAGTATATCTAATGGGCAATTACTGTGTCTAATTAGAAAGGTGTGAGAGAATTTTTAAAAATATTTAATTATAAGTTTTATTTATTAATTTTCTATTCATTTTTTTCTTATGACTGTGCGAAAATAATATTTATATTAATATTATAAACATGTTCGTGAAGCAATGATTATCAGTATAGTGATTATCGTTCGAACGAGCAAAGCTTTAGTATATTTTTTTAAATTAACAGGTATTACCGTAAAATAGAAAAATTTCTAATAAGATAATTTTCGAAAAAAAAAAAAAAAAACAAGAAAAGCATGCATTTTATACCAACTTTTTTTTATCAAAGATATTTTCTGCTTTTCATTCCATTTCTCTTATATTTTTTATGGTTAGAAGGAGCTTGTTTATTGCACCCTGTAGATACCGTAACATAGAAAATAGTTCCCTCGAGGAAGAAAGCTGTTTTTCTCGAGACGTGATTGGAGTTAAGACAAGTTCCTCTCGTTTTACCACTTACCTTTGCGAGATGCGAAATATTTTCGAGGTCTCGTTATTTCGTAAGAAAGATAGTATAAATATATATAACATTTTATGTGAATAGAGAGATGTTTAATCACGTTGACACATATTTTAACGATCGATTTTGATCGATCGATCTCGTTCCATTGGAATTTCAATGATTCGTTTTATTAATAGATAATCTAACGATTATCTCGATTATCTTTCAATTGCAATTATGCATTGAAATAATCAAGCTGTAAACCTAACTGACATAGTCTTCAATTTGGTATGCAAATGAAAAATCATTCATATGATATAATCAAAGTATAAGCCGATTGTATATATTCTTTGATAAAAACCAAGTGATATTTCATCAGAGATGGAAAATCATCAATGGTATAAGGAATTTCGAAGGTTGTTCAAGTAGAGAGAAAGAGAGAAAGAGAGAACGTCTTTTATATCGAAGACGATGAAGATGACGACGACTTTGGAAGAAGAGACGCGTGTTTGGATTCGACTGCACTCGGTGGTGGTATTCCCTAACTGAGGGTAGCACCAAAGAATCACCCCTGGGTGGCGCTGTCGAAGCGGTGTTAGGGGTTGGGGTTGGGGTTGGGATAGGGTTCGTGGGGTCAGGTGGAGTTAGCATGGTATAGAAAAGAGAGAGGGGAGGGGAATTGAGTGAGAGAACTAGGCGCCGCGGCCGCGAGGCGGGATGCGCGCGATGTAATAGTGTGGGTGTAAGGGTACAGATATATACACACAGAGAAAGAGAAAGACCGAAGGGTAGGGGTGGCGTTGAATCCCTCTCTTTGCTCAGTTCCGAAAGCGGAGCCAGAGAGTCGAAAGCACGCTCGTGGTGCGAAGCTCTCTCGGTTTCTCTTCATCTACGCGGGTAGGTGTACGCGGTAGGTGTACGCACTAGGTGTTAGGAGCTATGCTCCCTCGCGATCATTTCACACGTTTCTCATCTCCATGCTGACATATCCCAGAACAACCCCTTGAAAACCTATCTTCCTTCCGTTCGTCCTTCTCTCCTTTCGAGTGCTCTACGTCGGCTACGAGAGTGCTTCGTAAATCGAGACACCTTCTAGTTATTCGTGTTTCAACGACAAACACTTTTATTTTTTTTCTTTTCAGAAGAAAGGTCTTATACCTAGCGCGTTTCGTTGTTTCTTCGGTAAACACCGACTACTACGTATTTTTTACGATTGATTGACGGCAAGATTCGGAGGGTTGCATTTCTTTTTTTTTTCTTTTTCGAACATCCATAGATAGAACATGTCGTAGAAAAAGGAAACAGACGATTGGTTTCTCGTTTCTTCCTTGTATGCATATGCATTTAGTTAGACGGGGATTTTGTTTTGGGAGAAAAAATGTATAGATGATGATAAAGAAGGATAGACATAGATCGCGTATTTACATGGAGTATATAAATCGATAGTTAGATAAATAAAGATGAGAGAGAGAGAGAAAGGGCGAAAAAAGCTCGACGTTGATGGAGTTGCACGTGCGTGACCGAGTACGATGACGTTTGAACGGGAATTTACCTTAACCTTTTTCGTTGTAACGCTTTGAGTAAGCTTCGCACGTGATTATTGTGGTCAAAGGGAGGAGGATCGTGCGCATTGATGATGGGCCCCGTCTCTCTCGGATTGGTTCCGATCGAATCACGCGTGCACACTATCCTATATATTTCCTTTCGTCTTTTCGGTTTAACAAGTATTACTTGTTTATCTTCCTTTACGTATATCAAATTCGTTCTTGCATCCAGGAACTCCGTTTCGTGGTCCAGAGTTGAGTTACGACTATCGCGGGGGCGGTTATCGCTCTTCCATTTTTTATAACCCTCGCTGCATGGAGGAAGGTCCATACTTTAACCGCGTTATCGAAAATAAATCGGTCGGATCGTAGCTAGTAGGCGAGAAACGGAAACGGTTGTAAAGTTCACGTTTCTTTACGATTACTTGAGGAAAATATACAACGAAATTTTGTATATTACTCGTCGCGTATTTCAATTATGTTTTGATATTAAAATTCGGCATTATGGATTCGTACAATGGAGTCAACTCTTAGATAGCTGACTCTCGTTATACGCATTACGCTCATTGCCTCCAAAAGACAATCTTTTTCGTCCCGAGATATTTTTATTATTTTTTTTGTTGTTGTTTTTGTCATTTCTTTTAAGCTTTTGACAAGGTTCGCGTGGGGTTATATTCGAAGAAACGGGAACAATGAAAAATATGAGATATAAATGCGGAAGTGAGAGCTTAGGACCACTGAGAAGATCGTTCGCATGGGTGTCTCTTAATAAGGTCAAAACGTGATTCGGTCTTTCTTGTATGCGAGTCCTCTCTTCCGAACATGAGTATAGCGTAGAATATACATCGCATACGTACGTATTACGAGCTGGCGAAACAAAGGGAGCGCTCGATGCATATGCACGAGGGATTCTGCGTACCTAGTTTATGGACCGATGATTTCAGATGGGAATAAACTGATATCGAGCTTTGCGTAAATTTGCGACCCTAGTATCATGACCCGGTTTCCAAAGTCTCGGGAACGCGTCTCGGGAATGAGTCTCGGTACGATCGTTCCTTGCAATCATCTACATCTAGAAGAATAAGAAGGATCAATCGATTGCCATACTCAATGCGAGATATTTTTATTTCCTTTTAAGCGTTGTATTATACGTTTAGCAGAGACCGTTAATCTCACCAGAGTCTCGCTTAAGTAGAATCGATTTTGGGAAAATCGTTGGAAGTAAACGACGACGTTTTCGCGAAAAGTACGAATGATTTATGTGCCTGCCTGCCTGCCTGCCTGCCTGTCTGATTGCTAACTCGAATTCGATATGGTGTTCACGTTAACCCCGACAATCGCGAAGATGAAATCTGGCTCTGGCTACAATGATCGAACCTGGGAATCGTTCGATAACTCGATTACGCGTAAATCGCGAGCTTGAAAAGTGAACTGTTTAATGACTTGTGTGCCATTAACTCCTTAACGACCGAATATTACGCATTTCGTCGATTACGATTTCCCGATCGGTTCCGGCGTTCCCTTCGATTCGCTTTTGCATCGTATTCTATACCTAGACAAGTAGCCATTATTTCTAATCAATGATGCGGTTTAATAGGTGGACGAAGGTAAGCATGAGTCAAAAATACAACGATAACACGGTTTTACGCGGTATCATGCGGTTTTACACGGTAGTTGGTAAAGCTATGAAAGGATTAATATACATAACCCTCCCCCCCCCCCATCCCGTATTCCATTACGAAACGAGTAAGTTTCAAGGAAGCCATCGAAGATTAAATCCTTCGTTATATACCCTATGACCTAGATTTTCTTGGCTTTTACGAACTCGCAATGGACAATATCGATAACGAGAATGAATTTTTCAAGCAAAGGCAAAAAGAGAGAAAGAGAGAGAACAAAAAAAAAAGAAAAACCATATAAAAAAAATAAAAGGAAAACTCATCGAGAGGAAACTTTCTCCGAGAGAGTTCGCGCGTAGTTCTGTAAACTTTGGAAACGGCATCAAGTGCTTGTTCCTGAAGTTTATCTCGGTTTTCTCTGTTAAAAGAAAAAAAGAAGAAGAAAAAATAAAAAACGGAAAAAGCAAGATGAAAATATATGAAAATCGAGCTACGCTTTTTAAGAGTACTACATCACAGAGCTTTCTCTCTTTCTCTCTCTATCTCTCTCTCTTTCGTCTTCGCGATTCTTCGCGATCCTTAGCTAAAGATTTTTCATGAAAATCTTGGATGTTCTTTGTTCGCTCTCGTTAAAGAAACAAAAAAAAAGAAAAAAAAGAAAACTCCTCCGAATCCGAGAGTTATACTTAATACATATAATCTATGGTATTAGTGAAAGATCTTCTAGACGCGCAAAAAGAAAAAGAATCATCGTTAAACGTTTTTGTTTTTAGGAATATCGAGGAATATATTATAGTTTTTTTGTTTTTTGTTTTGTTGGTGACACCACGTTTTGCTCGTAACGTTGAAAGAATCGTTGTGAAAGTTCGTGAATGACGGTTAATAAGGCGAACGTATCGCGGGATATCTGAGAGGAATAAGAGGAATTTTTGGAAAGTGGAATGACGTAATAGGAAGAGGAGGCAAAATGCGAGCAAAACATTGACGAGGATCCTCGATGTCGAAGGCGCTCGACTCGTGCCGGTCAGGGATGCCGCCATTGATGCAGCCATTGATGCAGCCATTGATGCAGCCATTGATGATGCATCGATGCTGACTTATTCGACGTGTACGGTGCTCCAACGGATTATTCGACACGGATGACAGTCGTCGGACGTTCGCGTAGTAACCGTGATACTGTCAATCCTTTTGTCTGAGACAAACAGGAGAATTAGACCTACGAAAAATAGAATATATATAGAGAGAGAGAGAGAGAAAGAGAGAGAAAGAAAGAAAGAAAAGTGGCGGCGGGTGGACTACTGCGAAGGGTGACAATTTAGCAGTGATGCCGTGATGGGCTGCAGCTCGAGATCATTCGTTTTGACCACGCTCCTCGTGGGTGGATTACTTCTGGTCCTGTTCTTGACCGAGATATCTGGTGCAACGCGTGAGTATCTCTTATAATTTTAATTCGTTTATCTTTCTTTGACGTATGATTTAACCCGTTGCCGCACACTTTTTATTTGATGATCGTGCTCAGAAACACACTTTTTTTTATTTCGGAGCGATAGGGCATGCGAAAACGCATAAAAAAACAATTGATATGCTGTCTGGCATGCTGTACCTTTCTTTTAAATGTATTATTCAATAATTAACAAGTGTATGCGTTAGTACACTTCGTATTAACGCTATACTTTTTCTATTAATGAAAATATGCACGACGGTTATAGCCGTCGGTTGCCTACATATCAACAAAGATCGGACGGCTATAGCCGGCATTTGCGGCAACGAGTTGAAAACGTCTGCCAATGGTCTAACACGTTTTATTAACATTTCTCGACGTTGCATTGCCATGCGACAGAAAATTTCATCATTTTGTCATTTTTGTTAATTATTTAAAAATTCTCCCTGGCGTTCAATGATATGTAAAATTATATTAGAATAAATAATTAACCTTTGTATTGGCAAAACGTTAAATTGTTCGCGACACTCGGTCGAAAAGTTTGTAAAGAAGAAACAAATAAAAACTAAAAGGTATCATCGCGGATTTGCGTATTCTACTTGAATCGCTTACGATTTTTCGGCCAAGTTTAACGAGGAAAATAGGCGAGAAAAGTCGTAAAAGAAGGAAAGAAGATGGGAGAAAAATGGTAAAAGTGTCGAGGAATATAAGATAATAAAACAAAAAGGTAGATCGTAACGAAACGCGACGAAATGGGCTGTTTAAGAAGCACATGCGGGACGATGGCACGTTTCTTCGAAAGAATAGGTAGGCACACCCGGTTAGGTTTTAAGAAAAACAACTGCGAAAACTATCGCGAAAACTACTAGGAAAACTGCTACGATATACGTGGCATATCTTCGTTCGATAAAAAGGGTGCAAAGGGTGCGAACGTTGACGCGCGTTGACGCTACCAGTAAGCACCCCTTTCTTCCCTCGTCCCTCGTCTTGTTTTTCTTTTAGTTCCTTTATCAAGAATCTTTTTCTTTCTTCCTAACTCGTGGATTCCGTCTCTTTCTTTAGGAAAACCCAGCAGCCGACGACGCTTTTATCGCGACCTTATTCCTCCTTCCCTTTCATCCTCCCTTTTCTTTCGAAAACGAGGTGAAAGGTGCTAGAATTATTTTCATTCATTTTTCCGATAATTATTCCGTCAGGACCGGGGGCCCCATTCGCAATACAGATTTAACTTTTCGAATAATATAGAAACGTCGCGACTCGCGACTAGTTTTGTCTTCCGAACTTATATTTTCCTTATTCCACGATATTTTTCTCTTTTTTTTCGATCCGCCCCGTTACCATTTTTTATCAAAGATGACTGGGAGGGTGCGATATGTTGTATTTTTTTTTTTTTTATTCGCGAATAACCTTCCGCGCCGGGCTTTTTCTCGCGGCCCACGTTTGTCGGGCCTCTCAAAGTGTGTCACGAATTTCTAAGGGAGAGAGACTTTGTATGGCGGCCGCCAGGCAGAAGCTTTCTAAACGGAAAGACATTTAACCGAGAGTAGAATGTGCATTTTGTTGCTTGAGAAATGTTAGATATCCGACGTCGTACATACCTCGTACTCTTTGTCACGAGACCGTTTCCTTTATGATCGCTCCTTGCATCGGTCGTCATTCTTATTATCTTTATCTTCGTGTTCGGTCCATGGAAAAGAACGCATTGTTAACGCGAAACTCGTCGTAATTCTTTACGAAATAGCAAACAGTAACAACAACAACAACAAGAAGAAAAAAAATGTATAAATAAAGTAACAGCAATACTTTTAGCCTGGGATTGTTTGATCGTAACCCGAGTTACCATGTTCGAGTTTAGCTCGAAGTTGGATCTTTGAATTTACATACGGTTCGATTTATCCATCTATATATCTAGAAGAATACGCGACGAAATTCGAGGGATTCCAACATCGCTAATACTCTTCCTGAATCATTCGTACGAATCTGTTGGCAGAAGGAGGACGAACGACCCAATAAAAGTTTCCGACTTATTTTTCTTCGGCTCGCGTGCACCTGTGCGAACTTTTTCTTTTTTTTTTTCTTCTCCTTTGCTCTTCTGCTTCGACCTTCTTTTCCGTTACGGAGACCGACCCTTCCTGTATGCTTTTTTTTTTCTGCCAAATCGCGCTCGGCCCTTCTACTTTTTCCATCTTGTAAATCTTCTTTGTCGTAATGAAAGAACGCACGACATTATACGCAAATGTCTTTTTTTTTCTCTTCGAGTTTCGTGGTGAGAAATCGATCGGTAGAATAATCAAATGCGTGCGTAGAACCGTTATTCCTCCGTTGGACCATGGATAAGTACGAAATCCTTCTATAAAAAAAAAAAAAAGGAAAAACCGAAGCTAACGCTGCAAATATTATTTTTAATATATACGTGGTGGCAAACGTTTGAAGGGAAAATGACGGTGGATATAAATAAATACTTTTCCCGTACCGCGAGAGGCTCGTAAAACCGGTGCTTTGTTCTGTTTGGAGTCCATCGATGCGTTTGAAAAGGGACGCATCGCGAGAGGTGGTGGAGTTGGTTCAGAGGTTTGAGACTACAACGCAACGGGGTCAACAGGAATGTGATCAGTGATGTAACAAAACATTTTATCGATACCGCGACAAAATGCAAAATTAATCGAGCTGTATTATCCCACCCCATTATTTCTCTCTCTCCCCCCTCCCCTCCACCCCTCCTCCTCCTTCTATTTTCTCCGTTCGCTTTATTTTTTGTTTGGTGGTTGGATGACGGGAATTGTGCTGAGTCGACCCGCATGGTCATAAAATTATTGACTGTGTCACTTTGCTACGTGCCAACAATTTTATTTTATTCGACGTTGCTCGGGCCACCGTGAATAGCGATATTACGCATTAGAGATTACGGTATAGGAGAACTCAATCGGGGGTGGAAAGGGGTATGTATGGTCGTTCGTTTTCAAAGAGCCAATGGATTTCACGCGCGGATCGATCCATGCGTACCAAAATTACGAGCATCCTACCGGGACCGGACGTGACGTTTTATTTATTCCAAAGATTTATCCGAAAAATCCGCGGGTACGGTAGATGCGTGCAAGCAATCGCATTATATCGCAATCGCATTATAACGTTCTATCCCGTGTCGCGATTTCCCTAAAGAAAAAATATATTACTTTTAACAACAATAACGGTGAATTTTTTTTCTTTTTTTTTTTCTTTTTTTTATATATATATTCGCGTATGCATATTATTTTAACTTGGCTTCCTACATTATTCGTTTCGAATGATTCATTTTTTAATATTATGTAGTTCACGATTGCAAAGTTAAAAGGCTTTCTTTGCATTCTTTTCTTTTATTTTCTTTTCTTTTCTTTTCTTTTCTTTTCTTTTCTTTTCGTTTCCTTTTGGTTTTAGTACTTTTTCATTGTTACGCGGATTCTTAGGTGCTTTTTTTACGTCGTCCTTAATGCATTCAATTGGAATAGATCCCATTCTATCTCACTTCTCGCGCCTTTATTCTCGTGCCAATGGAACCGTTTTCTAGTCTTTTCTAAAGCTGCAAAAGCTTCGGAATGAATGGATAAATAGATCGATATTGTCTTCGTTCTTTGTGCACTTTTTCAAAATTATAATCGGGTCGCGTCGAATTCGTTCAATGTAATACGGGATTTCACGAGTTTTTTCAAAGTTATGCATGAATTTAAAGAAAATAACATTGATTAATGATTTTCATCGGTTTTCAGTCTATAGAAAAATATTCAACGGTGATAGCAGAAAGATTATTTCAATTTGCAATTTATGATAGGTTTTCAAATTTTTATGACTAAACAAATCTGTAAATAAAATGAAGATTGAAATTCTGATTCTTGTTATTCATCTCGCTTAACGAATTGGTCAAATTCTAAAGTTCGTAAATAAAAAAAAGGATTCATATTGTTCTCGTTAGCGAGCCATAGTATGGGATCGTTGAAACGAGGTCGAAATGGGTCATTGGTGACACGCGTTGACGCACTAGGACAATTACCATCGAAGATGGTAATAACTTCGTTAATAATTTATAATATGGATTCGAAATTTAGCACAGCTGTGCACCTGTTTCTGTAACATCGATCAAAACACAACGGCTGATTATGTTACGACCAATGAAAGAATACGAATGGAAAAATACATACAAAATAACGTTCGTGTATGTATTCGTGTGTCGATTTTTATATAATATTTATAATTATCGTCGTTTAATTATTAACATATTTTTTTAGGAGGGACATCTACTAGATACGAATTTAATGAAAATTGTAGAAAACGTTGTATGATTTACGCTGCTCGAAGGAAAGTTAACACCAGTATTTTTTAAAAGATCGTTTATCAAATTTTCCATTATATCGTATATATTCGATGAATTATTTTGAAATCTTACCGAAAAAAAAACAAAAAAACAAGTCTTCTTCCCGTCTTTTTCATTTTCCTATTGTTTTTTATGATTATTATCTAGTTGAACGTCGGCAAAAAGAGGAAAGTAGCTTTCACGTACGCTCAATTTAACAGTAAAGAAAATAAAATAGAAATAACTATGACCCAATTCTTTTTCTTCGTCCGTCTTCCTAACTTTTTAACGTCAGCAAAGCAACGATGTATCGTACAATCATTGGTCGGAACTACGATAAGTGATATAGAAGGAAGTAGAGGGGATAGTAGAAATAACGACACGTGCTGTAGAAAAATGAGATTAGATCATGAAAGAAATAAATGAGTAGGAAATAAAAATTCTGCCTTTTGTCAGAATTTCGGTTCTCCAAATTTAGTCTTTCTTTTAATAAGAAAGAATAACTTTTAGTTATAAATATGTCATATCATTGTGAAACGAAATCTAAGACACCTTAATCTTTAGTCAAACTTATTTGCGTTGAAAGTGGAATATGCAAATGGAAAAGTTATTTTATATCATCTCGAGAAGATAAAAGTCGTATGTAACGAGATAGATCGTG